CCGCGGCGGCGGCGGCGGCTGTTGCGGGGGAGCTGGACAGGCGGGAGGCGCGGGCGGACCGAGACTATGCGCTGATGAGCGCGGGCGTGAGGGAGCTGGGGATGAAGGTGGACGGGCTGGCGGGGCAGGTCATGTCAGTTGCTGACGTGGCGACGCGCGTCGACATGCTGCACCTGGAGATGCAGCAGCTGCGGCGCCTGCTGCAGGCAGTGGCCGACGGGCAGCAGGCGGCGGCTGCGGCCGCGCAGCATCAGGCCGCGCTTGCGGCGCGGCGCGCCGGGGATGGCAGCGGCGGCGGGGCGGCGGCGCATGGCGGCGGCGGGCCGGGCAGCGGGCGCGGGAGTGGGGCTGGGCAGGCGCAGCACTCTTGGTCGTCGCAGCCGGGCTCGCCATTGGCCGTGCTCCTGGGCGGCTCCCGATTACCCGGCGACGGGGCCGGGGCCGGGGCCAGTAGCGGCGGCGGAGGCGCCGGCGTCGGCGGGGCGGGCGCCGAGGGGCCGCACTCGCCGCCGCGCTCGCGCCGCGTGACTCCGGAAAGCGATGATCGGCGCCGCGCGAGCGCGAGCGGCGGCGGGTGGAGGGCCGGGGCGGCGGCGGGGCTGGTGGGCGAGGGGCATGGCCTCGGCGGCCATGACGACGGGCTGGGGAATGCTGTGGGGTGGGTGATGCAGCCACCTGGTTGACAGGGGCCGCGACAGCGCTGCGCCTGGGCCCGTGCTATGCAGTGCGGGCGCATGCGCCGAGCCGGCTGTCGGGCGCGGCAGCGTATAGGTGGGCGAGGGCTAGTGCTGCTGGGAACGGCATTGATCACACGAACCCTTTGAAATCTTGTCCCATCAAGGACCATTGAACGAGCCGGGGGCGGGGCGGAAGCCCGAGCTGTGCTGCTTGCCAGGACGGCCAGGCCGGACCGTCACGCCTTGATGCTGTTGCCAAAGCCACACCCCGACCGATCCGCCTGCCTACTTGCGGCCCATGGCCCTCAAACGCCGGGCAGCGCCCCTGCGCGCCCGCGTCTGCGCCTGGCCTGCGAGCGGCGGCGCACGGTGTGCGGCACGAAAACCGCCCGAGGATTTCGGATTCTAAACCTTGACGAGCCGCAAACCCTTCAACTTCTCCAAGCCCTCCGCGAGATCTCCCTCGAGCAGCCACATCCATTTTTTGGCAGGCAGTAGGCCGCTGCGGCTTTGGCAGACGGCTGCACGCATGTCATACGATTTCAGGCTTCAAAGCCAAGCATGCCCCGCGATGATTGAGCCCGAAGCGCAGCATTTGTATCACTCGCCAAAGCATGTGCTGGGCTCTGAAGCAAGAGCACGGGCGCCGACTGCAGGGCTGAGCGTGCGTGCGCACGAGCGACTGCGCACAACCTCGGGCGTGCGCTCTTCGCTTTGGCGCACCGCCACCATGCAGCTGCCCTCCTGTGCGGGAGTTCGCTCTCCTTGCCGTGTCGCTCCAGGGTACTGCTCCTGCGCTCGAATGGCGGCGCCCGCCTCGTACACTTCTAACGTCTTTCTTGATCAAGGTCGCGCAGGACGATGTTGGACTAGTGTTTTTAAATGCGCCCACGCTGTTTGGTGCTGCCACGAAGCTAAGAGTAGAGTTGGGCTGGGGTGTGGCTCGCGAGCGCGTTACCGGTTTGTCATCAACCTGCAGACCTCTGCAGGGGTGCGTGCTACAGGGTGTCAGGCGCTGGAGAGCCCACAGAGGGGGAACCAGGCATGCCACCCCCCGTGCCACTGCCCCAGCATTTCGTGAGCGCAAACAATTGGCAAGTTGATTTTGACGGGGCCGCTCCCACATTGGGGGCAGTCGTAACCTCCGCTCGGCGCGGGACGCATTGTATAATGTGACTCACATGCCACTCAGGTACAGAGACGAAATAAAGAAAGTGGAGGAACCAATAAGTGGGCCGGAGCCGCTGCCAAAAACGCCAGAGACCAGCAGCAAGCGGTCAGGGTGTGGGTGTGGGGAGGTTGAAAAAGGAAAACTTTTGGATCTTCCAAAGTGCAGCTGCGCACCCTACATACGTAGACAGGCCTGAGAGCCGGCGGCCGCCGACGAGGGCCATGAAAAACGCGGCAGCCGCCGCTAAAAGCTTGCTGTGCGCGGCAGGCTGCGCAGTGGTCAAAAGAGGGGGCGCGCTGGCGCAGCACGTGAGCTGTCGGAAGAAATTCGGGGGTGCATACACGCCAGTGTCTTAATTCGGGCAGAACAGCCCAAGAGAGACGGGGGGCCGTCAAGCGCCGGGCGGCGCAGCTGCGCTGCTGTCGGCGGGCGTAACCGTGCCTGCGGCTGCGACGGCAGCGGCGCCGCCTTTGAGCTAGGTGCTCCTCGGAGCCGCTGCCGACGCAGGCCCAGCTGCTGGTGTGGACGCGCTCATTTGTTGGCCTCACCGCTGCTGCTGTTGCTGCGAGCCGTCCACTTGCATCGGCTGCTGCCCATAGCCGAGGTGCTGCTGATTGTTCGTGTGCTGATGTGGGGGCGCCGACGCGCTCGCTTCGTGCCGCCGATGCTGCTGCTGCTGATCGGCCAGCTGTCGCTCATCCGGCTGCTCCCCGAGTAGCTGCTGCCCCGCCTGCGCCGCCGGCCCCGCCGCGGCCGGCACCGGGCCCGCGGCGCCGCCGAGCAGCTGCTGGCCGGCTTCCAAGGGGTGGTAGCCCAGCCGCTTGGAAGCTTCCTCAAACCAGTGGTCGGCCTCTGACTGGCATGGGGAGCAGCCATACCCGACGCTCAGCATGTGCCCTAGCAGCGCCATCTGATTGGGCTCCCCGTCCTGTGCGGCAACAAGAGTCTCCTGAAACCACCGCGCCTCGCACTCCTGTATCGCCTGCTTGAGCGGCCGGCCCCTGAGGAGTGGGTTGCGGGTGGTGGTGTTCATGGAGCGCGCAGAGAAAGCACGGCGCTTCAGGGCAGCAGGGGGTGGCGGCGAGGTGCTGCGTGGATGCACGGCTAATTGATCAGCTGGTAGCTCCTGGAGATACCGGAGACAATGGTTGGCTTCCAGAGAAGGCGCGCCAATGCAACCGGGGCATGCAGAAGGGCACGGCGCACGCAGTGGGAGTGCGAGTGGCGAGGTGCTGCTGCAAGGTCGCCGACGACGCCATCCCAATGGCGCGCTGCAGCACGCACACAGCTAACGTGATGCCCACGCGCCCCACCTTTGTCGGGCAGGCCGCTCTGCATCCATCACAGGCCGCGCCACGGGGCAGCTGAGGCAGCGGCGGGCTCGTCTGTCACTAATGTCGCCCTTGAGCAAGTCCTAAGGCCACAGAAGCTACACGTAGAATGCCGAAGCGCTGAGTTGGTCGTCGAGCGAGCAGCTCCTGCGATTATGCCGATGGTGGCCACCAAGTGTGAAAGCACAAAGCAATACGCCATCAATTGCACAACTCATGCACACCCTAGCAATGGGCATATGCGGGCGTGCCGACCTTGCCATGCATGGTGCCCAGGCGACAGTGCCTCAAGTGACTGCACCAGCTGCGCCTGAGCTGCATGCCGCGTGGCACCTGCGCTGCACAGCCTGGATTCGGCCCTGTCGCAGCATCAGTCTCAATGAGAGTGGGGTACAGCCGGCAGCCAAAGGGCAGTATGCGGAGACGGGTTTGCTTTTAGCTGGTCAACCACGGAGGTCCGTCAGGGGGCTGCCACGTGACCAAGCTTTTGGATCTACAGCAATGTAACGACGGCTGTAGCATACGACAAGCAGCCACAGGTCAGCAAAGTCCAGTTGTCATGGTGGCGGTCAAAGCACCGGTCAAACAGTGTCGTCGCTTTTGTGCCTTGGGCAATCGCGTCCTGCAAAACGCAAAAGGAACGTAGATCGACGCTCCCCAGACCTCCCATGTGCAAATCTCCCCCTAGGAACCTCCACATTACAACCCTGGAGCATGCGATCGCTGATGAAATTTTGACGTGAAAGGCGTATCGATCCCCTGCGTCCCACCCTCCCTCCCTTGCCATAGCATCATACGCAGAGCTCACATGTTGGGGGTTCGTCTCCACAATGAGGTCAGCAGGCGCGTTGGCCAGTACAGTATGCCACTTGACAGCCAGACTGTCAACGAGCAGTACGCAATGCAAAGTGTGATGGTGCCCCGATTTGCCTGCCCTCCAGGGCTGGGGTTGAGCGTGCGCATACGGTATCACAAGCATGGACACATCTTATGTGCATACTCGGCAGAGCATCTCTACAAATACAGGACTTCACCGTAGCTTTTCATACCGTTTATGCTGCTGGTGATCTCTTGGTTTGAAGGAGAGCCGTGTGTACAGTGTCACGAAGATTTTGTTGGATATTACTGATCTTAATCATCGCGATTGAGCCTACAGGGCGGGGCATTGCCGCAGCACGTCGCCCCTCAGCCAGCCCTAGCTGACGCCTGTTGCCGCTTTGGGCCACCAGCGCCCTGCGCCAAGCCATGTCCAGCAGCTTTCTGCTGCTCTGTGTGGGGGACAGCCACACGGAAGCCATACTTGGGGCAGACTGGGTTGGGAGCCTGGCGGCGGCGACGCGCGGCAAGCTCAGAGTGGTTCGGGCAGGCAGAGGTGGGTGCGACACGAGCTTTCACGAGCACAGACGCGCCTGTGCACGCGGCATGTGCAGATTCTGGCGAGGAGTGGTCTGTGGATTGCACTGCACCCTAAACCCTTCACGGCAATCACATGGGGCGCATGTACACACTGCGCCTGCTCGCCGCGCTTTGGTTCCTCATCACACTGACAGTCCGCCAATTCGCTCACCCTGTGCACGGGCAATCGCTGCAAATCCCTTCCCCTACCCTCACCCCGAGCCCACACTCAACCACTGCACTGCTTTTGTGCACGGCAGCGGGCGAGTGGGCGGTGCTCATCCGCCGGCGTCTAGACCAGCTGCTTGCTGCGCACCCCGACGTTGCGGGCGTCACCATACTGGCGGGCACTAACGACGTCATCGCCACCCTGGGTGGGCGGTTGAGCGGGATTGAAAATCTTATGAAGTTTCCGTTCGGGGTCCACTCTCACGCAGATGAGTTGGGGTCGAGGGCTTGGAAAGCAAGCGTGGGCCACCTGCAGCTGTGGTGTGTAAGCCACGGGTCTGAATGCGTCTCTGGGCCTTGCGTTTTAGTCATGTTGGCGAGCTGGCGGGGTCGAGGGGTGGGGCCAGAAGATACCCGCCTGCCGTTCACAAAAGCCAGCAGCCAGCAGAGGAATGCCGGGGCAAGCTTGCGTCGCACCATGGCCACGAGAGGCACGCCCGTCGCGGCGGGCCACAGGTGGCGCCAGGAAGGGCGCTGTCGCGCCGGGTGCCGTGTCGGGTGAACGAGGCTGAGCCCCTGCGTCCCTCAATCACCGCGACAGCCCCAGGGCGCCGACTTGCCCCACGCCCCCCAAACCCTGGCTGAAACCTGTGCTGCCCAATCCCCCCTCCCTATCGGCCGCCAGACGCCTCGCGCCTCGGCTTCTACCGCCGCTGCTTCCCGGCCCTCAAGGGCGCAGAGGCCTCCCTGAGCGCCCACACGGCCGAGGTCGAAGCCATGCTGCGCGCGCTGCGCGAGCGGGCGCCCCGTTGCCGCGCGGCAGTCATCACGCTGCCGCCGATTGGGGAGGATCTTGGAGACGCGGCCAACGTTAAGGTGTGGGGGTGAAGGGCTGCGTACGTATGGGGCCCTGCCGCTCTGGCCCAGGCGCTCGTCTGCGTATGAGTACAACCACCACGAGCGGTCGTAGGCATGTGCCGTGCTGACGCGGTGCCGAAACCGAGGGAACAGGCTCCAGGATTTCAGCAGAAGTTCTCGCCGCTGAGAAGCAAAGGACACATGCGTTGTGTTGCTTGTTGTCCTGGCTGTACAGCCATATCTGGAGGCTGCAATTCTGACTGCCGCACGCCCCATGACAACGCGCCTGGCGCCTCCGCCCAATGCTGTTTATACACACCAGCTCCTCCTTGCAGCCCTGCACATGTTGCTCCCCTTCCTATCCAAACTGTACGACTCCACAGGTGCAGCAGTACAACACCACCCTGCGGCAGCTGGTGGGGCGCTACGCCGACTCAGCGCGCCTCGTCGACTTCCACGCCGCCTGCGTGGAGCACTTAGCCGCGCGCGCAACGCCGGCGCCGCCGCCGGCGGGGCTGCCGTCGATGAGTCTATGGGGCATGGTGTGGATCCAGGTGGCTGCGGTGGTCAGGCGGTACGTTTTTCGGTCTTCATGGAACGCGGTGTCGCGGGTCAACGGCCTGCGCCTGCTGACGGACCACGTGCACCTGAACGACACGGCGGCGGCGCTGCTGGTGCGGTCACTGCAGCCCTTCGTGGATGAGCTGATTGCCGGCAGCTGAGAGAGGGAATGTTGAGCAAGCAGGGGGTATCTAGCAAACTGGTGTGTGCGCAACGTATAACCCTCATGTGTGCAACGCTGTGCCAACATTGAAGGCATGCCGCCATGCACAACTGTACTGTTTTCACGCAACGTTATTCGATGTGTCGCTGGTTCAAAAATGGTGTGTGCTGCCCTGCGCTTTGGCAAGTGATGACTGCCTTCATGCTGACCGTGCCGGTGATTTGGCGGTGGCAGATGCCTTCAATCGTTGCCTGCTTCAAGAAACCCTCTGCAACAACGCAGGCTGGTGCTCACTTTCTGTTGTCACTGCAGAAAAAGGTCTATTTGCCTGCCGCAATTCAACAACAAATGGTGTAGGAGGTTTGCCTGAACAGCACCGGCGCAAGGTGTGCACTCTCGGCCCTGCAGTCGTGCAGGATGTTGCCAATCGTGGCATCACATACAGTTGCCAAACGTTACGAGCAGCTGCAAGCAGTTCTCTCGAGACCAGCATTCCATCTGCACCCGTCCCAACAGCAGCTCACCGCGTGCAACATCACCCAGCTCAACCAGTGGGGGCGAGGGGGCAGGGGTGTGGGCGGGGCCACTGTTGAGCTAGGTGGCCTTGCACGTGCAATTCGCCGCGGCGCCCAGGGTCGGCTGCAGTGACATCTGACCCTGGGCTTCTGCGGGCCATGGCGCAGACAACAGTCCGTCGAGGCTGCCGCCCGCTGTGGGCCTCCTCACCGCTCAGGCGCAGGGGCCGCAGCTTCTTGCTCGCGCCGCTTGCATCGCTGCTGCCAGGGTTCGTAGCGGCGCGCCGATCAGCTGGCCAGGTGATCCATTAATCAGGTGTGAAGCGGCGTGCGGCTGCGCTGCAGAACAGGCCAGTGCTGCAGTTAGTGCCTAGCCAGAGGCCAAAAGGGCTGTGCAGAATGTCTGATGGCCAATCAAATTGTTATCAAGGTTGAGCAGCGTCTGATCGCCTCTTTACACAACACCTCGTACCGGTACTGTTCTACAGTTGTTTCTGATAAGGCTATAATTTTGCGCATGTAGATCGCGTGTGTGAGTAGCTGCAGTGTACGCCATACTTATCAGGTTTTGACAACTGTCTGCTGTCGTGTGATCACGGGGTCCACCGGACATACCATTGCCTCGTTGTTCGTGCTATCCCACCAGCAGAGAATGCGCTATACCTAAGCCATGAACACCTGCTTGCCCGCGAGACTTCCTGGTGCGCGCCCGCTGGGCACGAGCAACTGCAATTGGGTCCGGCGCCGTGCGCACCCCATCTGTTCCGCCAAGCGGCGTGCCGCTAAGAAAGCCGACGGCAGCGACACGACCAACGACGGTGCCGCTACCGGCACTAGTGACGGCGCTGCGTCTGCGGACGCCTCGCCGAAGCGCCGCGCGCCGCCCCGCGCGCCGGGAGCCAAGAAGCAGGTACCCCCCGGGCAGCAGACGTTTGCGGCGCAGCTGTCAGAGGCGCTGGGGCCTGGCATCACCGCCGCCGACGCCGCCGCGGCCGTCCGCACGTGCAGCGTCACCCGCCTTGACCAGTGGCCGGCGCAGGTGCTCGCGGCCAACGCGGCGAGCCTGTGGGAGCTCACGGAATGCAGCTCGCGCACGGAGCGCGCGCGCGCCGTGCGCACGGCGCCAGAGCTGCTGACACTGCCCAAGGGCGCGCAGCGGGAAATGATAATGGAGCTGGGGCGTTTCTTCAACACTGCTAATGAGGAGCCTTTCTGGCAGCTGCGCGCCGGCAGCGAGGCGTTCCGCCGCTACCCGCGCGCTGCGCTCGTGCACCCGTCGGCGCTGCAGGCGCGCTGCGAGGAGGCCGTGCGCGCGCTGGCGCGCGGCCTCGCCGCCCGTGGCGCCGGCGGGCGGGCCTCATCAGAGAGGACCATCAAGCACATGCTGCAGCAGCACCCGGCGCTGCTTGAGCTTCCGGAGGGTGTCCTGAAGCAGAGGGTGGAGGCGCTGCAGAAGCTGGACATGCCCGTGGTGTGGATGCAGCGCATGCTGCTGACGGCGCCCCAGCTGCTGCTGATCGAGCCCCGGACGCTCATCGCCAAGGTGGGTACTCAGATAGACAGCACACGGGCCTGTACTCTTGCTGCTTTAATACATTTCAAAATGGGCTTTGCGCCAGTGTTCATAATCCAAGGAGTGAGTGTGGTAACGAGTCAATGGGTAGCTAGCAGCAACCATTGGCTGCCAACTCAGGTTTACTGTGCTTGCAGCTTCCTGGACGGCTGGAAAGCAGCGCTGCAGTGCTGCAGCGCTTGCGTGTCTTGAGGCACAGCACGCATGCAGGCGCGCCGGCCGGCGCTTCTGCGTGCCGCAGCCGAGCCCTCGCTTGCTCCTCGCACTACACGCGCTGCCCTCCTCGAGTGTACACACCTTTGAATGACAAATTCCCAGTCCACAAAGTCATGACTCACCCTGCATTCTTCAAACCTGCGTGTACAGATTGCGCTGCTGCAAGTGGGGCTCGGCGGAGACTTCCTCATGAACCTGCCAGACCCCACGATCGGCCGCCTCGCCGGCTACAGCGCCACGCGCCTCGCGCGCTACCCGTTCCTGAAACGCGCCAAAAAGCTGCCCGGCGAGGGAGCGCGGGCGTCCTCTGGCGGGTCGGACGGGGCCCCGGCGGTGCCTGCCTGGTCGGACGCGCGGTTCGGCAAGGACCATCCAGGGTTTGCTGAATGGCTGGCCTCAAACCGGGAGCAGCTTGAGCGCGAGTACGCGCCACTCACCTTCCCGCCGCCAGCCGGCAGCCGGCGCGGGCGGAGCGACAGCACAAACGGGCTTGGGGTTGATCTGGAGGATGCGACGGGGGATGGCTCAGCGGGGGAGGGCTCGGCGGGGGAGGGTGCAACCAGCAGCTGGCCAGCTGCCGCACGGGGCAGGGAGGAAGGTGGCAGCGGTGATGACGGCGAGTCTGAGGCGAGTGAGGGTGAGGGCGAGGGCTCGGTGGACGTGGCCAACGATGAGCTGCCTCAAATCGGCTCGGCCATGTGGGTGTGAGCTGCCAGCAAGGGGTTCCTGCTGCATGAATGAGATTTTGCCGTGACACGCAGCCCTGATGATGAGGCAGTCCACTTGCGAGTCAGCATTCCTGGTTGATGTTGTTGAGTCAATCATACCACAGCCGCACACCTCTGTGTCACTGCTGCCGTAAGCCATTATTGGCCCACGCAGTCGTCGCTGTTCGTGGCCTCGCCACGAGAGTTGCGCAGCAAGTGTACACAACATGCCCGTGCATCACGCTGCACCCTTACGTGAGACTGCACACCACAAAGCTTTGCACCCGGACTGAGCGTACATGACACCAAATTGCTCTTGCACTGAGTGAACAGCATGCGGATCTGCAGCTGAGTAGTGTGTTG